TCGCTTGAGCCTGTTTTATAAGGGCAGTAATCACATTCATGAAGGTAGAGCCCTCATGGCAATAACTCCCCAAAAGGTGCCCCTCTTCCCAAACGCTATCACATTGGGCATCAGGTTCCATATGCATTTTGGGAGGACACCAACAGTCAGACCATGGCACAAGATGGGTTTGGTGACTCTGTGGACAGAGGATTCTCCCACCTAGGGATCTCCACTGTTTGTCTTTAGAGGAAGGAGATTTGCCTTGAGGAACCTGTGTACATGGAAGGAGAGGAAGGCTGGATTTGTGCTCTGAAGATAGAGAAGGCTGTGAATAAAATCTGCATTTTGAAGATAGGAAAGACAAGAAGTGCTGTTCTTCAGGACAACGGTGGCAGAATGGGGCACAGAGAAGAGCACCGTCCCCATTTCTGTGGCACCTGGTACAGACAAGAGCCAGAAGGGCTGCCACCCCTGACATGCCATTGGTCACTCCAAATCAGTGGTGTGCAGGGGCTGGCTCCTGAGACCCAAATGCTAAATTTTCAAGAATTTTCCAAGCTGGTTGTTAAACAGAACCATTATTAAAAATTAAACTTATACAATTAAATGAGTTATGTGAGGAACAAAGGTAATGAATATTCAAAATTCATCATTCGTTAGTCATTTTACTACACCTTACTACAATCTATGCTTATTTACGTCCGTTGTTGTCTGTATGGTGGAAATACTATGTAATGATATGCTACTGTGCATGCTTCCTAATTCCACATTCAGTGATGGCAAGCTTGACACTGGCACAGTGGGAGTATTTACACCATGGAAATTGGCAAATGCTACAAATTAGGACTTGATTGATTGTTTTCCTGATTGTCTAGAGGAGGGGCTGGCAAATTTTTATGTAAAGGGCCAGATAGTGTTTTAGGCTTTATAGGCCACACAGTGTCTGTCACAATGACTAATTCTGCTCTTACAGAGCAAAAGCATAGAAAATACCTAAATGCATGAGTGAGCCTGGGTTTTTGTACTAACTTTATTTGTGGATACTGAAATTTAAATTTCATATAATTGTCATGTGTCATGCAATACTATTCTTTTGATTTTTTTTCAATCATTCAAAAATGTAAAAACCATTTTTTCTATGGCAGGCTGTAGAAAATCATGGCACACACTGGCTTTAGAGACTATTTATTATTATTTGTGAATCATATGCTACATCTCCCTTATATCAGTAAAATTTATAATAAACTATTTCTTTTTTTTTTTCTAGAGAACTGGTTGTTAAATATTTGCCAGCACACCACCACTTCAAGTGTTTTCTGAATTGGGGACATGGGAGGAGGGAGTCCAGCAGTACCCTGGGGAGGAGGCCGTACCCTCTCCCATGAACCACTGGCACTGGGGGCATGGTGAGCTTGCCCCTAGAGGGTTTGCCAACAGCTGACTTGAACCACTGCAAAGGAAGGGCAGAGGATTCCTGTGCTTGTGTGATGTGGAATACTCTGGGGACTGTCAGAAATAACCCCGGAAACTATAAGGTAGCGCCAAGGTCCTGCTGTCATGTAGGAGGGGCCTGTGAGCTGGTGAGATTTCTGTATCTACAGATGAAGGAGTTGGCAAATTCCAGTTACATAATGTTTTTCCCATCTAGGAATATTATGGTACGTCATTCCATTTAGCCAAGTCTTTATTTAAATCCTTCAGTCATTGTATTCATGTAACTCCTGTATTTGTCTTGTTAAGTAAATTCCTAGGTAGTTACATTTATTTTTTTTAAATGTTAATATTTATTTATATTTTCATTTAATTTTTCTAGCTATATTTTTGGTTCTATAAAATTTTTTCCTATTTTTATCTGTTTATTGCTGGTCTATAGGGAAACTAATGCTTGTATAAATTAATTTTTTATACTAGTCACCGTATTGAATTATTAGTGTTTTTTTAGTTGATTCTCTTGTGTTTTCAGTAATACAATGATATCATCTGCAATAAATGATCCTTTTAGCTTCTTCTTCCCAATTTTTGATAAATTTTAGTATTGGGATGTGCTTGCTTTACAAAATGAATTGGGAAGTTTTTCATTTTTCCCCCTGGTCAATATCAGTTGAAAGAATGTAAAATCTGTTTATGTGAAGTTTCAGAGAATTCAACCATGAAACCATTTAGCCTGAAGAATTTTTCCAGAAGTGATTTTTGTTTGTTTGTTTTTACAAATATTTCTTTTTCACCATAGATGCTGGTTTACTTAAGATTTTTTCTTTTGTCAGATTGGTAATTTATGATTTCTGAGAAAATTTCTATTCCATCCCTATTTCTACTCCTGTCTCTCTCTAATCTATTCTCTAGCCAGTAAGCCATCACAACATTTAAAATTTCAGGTGGTCATTCCCCTGCGTGAAAACCTCTGACAGTTTTCACTGATAGGTTATTATTGCTTTATGTCTCCTGGTCTATGAAGGCCTAACATGATCTGGTCCTAACTTCCACCTCCCACTTCCTACTGCCTTGCTCAGAGTGACAGGAGGGCCCGCAGAGGAGGAGCTAGCACAGGCATGCTGAGTACTGGATTTCATGCTGATTCTGGAAACAGCTCCATGCCAGTTTTAAAGGAGGCTTAATTGTTCTGGGAGTTTTGCTGACATAATACAGCTTGGCTCACGGGTGGTTCTTGTCCTTAGGCTTAAAAGTAGAACAGGCATTAATAAATGCCACAAAATGTCTTTGGTTGTGTTCAGCCAGTTCTTTTCCCAGAAGAAAAAAAGCACTGTGCTTAATTAAATTCAATCAATATTTTTCAAGGGCTTCTTGTCCATAGACAAGAGATTTTGCTGGACTCTGGGATATAAGTGAGGCAGACACAAACAATGTACCTCTATTGCAAGGCAAAGTAAAAGAGAATGTATTGATAGAATATGCTGGGTTATGCCACAGTAATGAAAATCTCAGAGGCTTATATCCACACATGTTTATTGCTCAGTTGTGCTGATGTCCAGGTGGATTGGCTATGGCTCTGCTCTTTGTCATTTCACTCTGAGACCCAAGCAAGTTGAAAAGCCTCTATCTGGAAAATTTCTGGTGGTCATGGCAGAGAGAAAAGGCATGCTGGCCAACATGCAATCACTAAGACTTTGTTAAGAAGTAACACGTGCCACTAAAGATCACATTTTATTGGCCAGAGAAAATAGTATGATCAAGTTGGACATCAAAGGGGCAGGGAAGAATTAGGTTGAACCATATGAGATTGGCATTTTATGAAGTCAAAAGTGATTGAATATCTCAATTGTATTTGGTTTAACCTAATATAATTCTTCTATAGGGAGGGCAGTGATTATTTGAATAGTGTAATCTACTCCATAGTGGTACCAACAAAATTGCAATAAGAAAATCTTATTAAGATTTTCTTTAAATTCAGATGAAAATTTTATTCACTAATTCCGCATTTCACTTGAGATAGCCACAGACAACCAATCCTTCCATCTGTGGAAATGGGTAATAAAAGCAGAGGTGTCACATTAACCTTTTTTGCTGAATTTAGGGGCCATTGGTTTTAGATTCCAGCTTTAAGGAGTCCGTCTCAATAAAAATGTGCCATGTTCTTGATATATGCCAGACTTTGTGCAACGTGCTGGGACAGACAGTGAAACGCACTGACAGACAAGGTCTGTCCTCAGGGGGCTGAGAGTCTAGTTCCTGCCCTGCTATCACGTGCAGATAACCAGTAAATAGGTGCTGTGGGGGGTGGGAGAGGTTGAGGGAACTTAGGGTGTATTTCTAATGGAGCTCACACGATTGTTGGCCAAATTCATTTCTGTGAAGCTGCAGAACTCACAGCTGCTTGTTTCTTCCAAGCTAGCAGGAAAATCTCTCCAAGCTCAGGGCAAGCTTGAGCTCTCTTTTAAAGGGCTCACCTGAGTAGGCCAGGCCAACCTAGGGCTACTCTTGCCTTTGATGAACTTGAAGGTAAACTGATTAGAGACTTAATCACAAAATCCCTCCATCTTTGGCACATGATGTAACCTGACCACAGAAGAGACATCCATCATATCCACAGGTCTTGCCCCTACTCAAGTGGACTGTGCGGGGCACGGACACCAAGAGTGGGAATCTGGGACGCGATCTTAGAATTCTGCCTGCTTCAGGGTTTCATTTTCAAAATTGTCACGGATCTTGTGGGTGTGTCTCCTTGTTGTTTTAGTCCATGTTTACCTGATGTCATTGGTCATTTGTAGATCTTTTGTGAAGTCTTCTGCCCAGAATTCGTTCTTAGTGGATTGCTTGCCTTTTTGTTTTTGAGTCTTCTAACCTGAATAGAAGTTATTGGTTGGATACAAGTATTGTAACTATGTTCTCCCAGTCGATGGTTCCCCTTTTTGTCTTTGATAAACATAAATTCTTCATTTTAATTGTCATATTTCTCATTCCTTTTTTTTTGGTGGTTGCTGGTTTTGTGTCCTGTTTATGAATCTCTTGCTTAGCCCAAGGTCATAAAAATATTCTCCCGCCTGGACCCTTTCTCCTGGACCCTGAATTGATTTTGTTTTCAAATGTAGGTCTATGATCCACTTTGAATGAACTTTTATGACTTGTGCGTGTATGGGACCAAAGTTCATTTTGTTCTCTATATGATGAGCCAATTGATACAGTATCATTTACTGAAAAGACCATCCTCTCCCTATTGATTTGTGACTTTGACTTTGTTAAATCAGGTGACTGGAGGTAGGCTGGAATCTGGTTTGGCTTCTTCTACTGCATGAATCTATTTGTTCATCTGTACACCAGTGCCAGACTGTCCTCACTATTGTCCGACCATGCTGTGATATCTAAACAATGTCTTCAAAGGAATCCTGGGCATTGCCATCTCTCTAGAGAGGCCTCACTCCACTCTCCCAGCCCTAAACAACTACAGATTTATTTTCTGTCTCTGTAGATTTTCCTGTTATACAGATTTCTTGTGAATGAAATCATATAGTATGTTGTCTTTTGTACCTGGCTTCTTTCATTTCCAACATGCAGGGATCACCATGTTTGCAAGACTGTGTCCTTGTGCAGGAAACAGAAGCACCGACCAGGAGGACTGGGGCAGGTGAGATTGGGAAAAAAGAAAGGGAGGGAATAAGCTGTGTCCAGACACTAAAAGGACTTGCAGGATCTTTTAAAAGAGATGTATACATGTAACAGGGCATTAGACAGCATGGGAAAGCATCCGCTCTCTTAAAATATCAAAAAAATCCACATAGATATGGAACAAGCTTCTTGTATCCTTCGGTGTGGAGCATGTGGTCCTCGCTCAGCTATGTGGCTGACCCACAGAAGGCAGTCACGGATGGAGCTTATAAAGGAAGGAGAGAGGCCCATACACTGAGCTCAGAGGCAGGAGAGGATGAGTTTGAAGTGCTTGAGGAACACGGAGTGACCCCAGGAAGGAGCTGGGCCATGTTAGGTGGAGCTGAGAGAGGAGCCCCAGATTCAAGGAGAGTATGTCCAGGTAGTAGCTTGAACAGCACAGATGGAAAAGGATTTGGCTTTCTTTGTTTTCTTCCTTTGATTTTTAACTGCCCATCCCTCCGCAATATTAATGGTTAGTACAGAAAAGAAAAAGGAGAAATTACCACCCATCACCCCTCCACCCAGAATTAACCACAGTTAACACTGGGGCCCAGTTCCTTCCAGGCTGGAGTCTCAGAATCACTTTCTTAACCAGGAGCAACGGTCTGCACAGCTTTATATCCTGCAATTTCTTGCTTAGTGTAAGTAAAAGCATTACCCTGGGATCCGATTTCCTTTTGCATCTCAAACCCGGGAAGTTTGGCCATTAGCAAGGATTTCCTGAATTTCCTTGGAATCATCACAGCGGCTGGGCTTGGTCTTCCTGAAGCTTAGGGCTAGTTCTCCCTCCCCTCCTTTCAAGCTGCAGGTCTTCGTGAGAAGAAGGCGGATGTAATAGCAGAGACTTAGCTTTCAGGCCTCATTCCTCAAGGAGGTAATTGTTCCCTTTAAAGGAAGACAGAATTAACTGAGTGGCAGCACTGGATTAGGCCTGGGCATCCAGAAACTGCCCGCAAGAAGTGGAGGCCAGTGGGAGACACACAAGTGTCTACAAGGCGAGGTGACAGAGCTCTCCGAAGGATGGAGAAGGGGCTGTGGCGGCTGGCCCAGTGGAAAAGTACCTCAACCATGATTCATCAGGGTAATGCTCCGTTGGTGCCAGGCCATCACCCCGTCTGGGAGTGCAGACAGCTGACAGCTGAAAGTCACATCAAGAATGGAATCAATTTTCAGGGAAGAAAGTAAATGAAAGTTAAGATAAAAATGCATTACTTCACTGCTATACCTTCTGCTGCAAGCATCTGTTTAATACAAGCAACATGAGACTAGCGCCTGCTACGTGGCGAGTGCTGTCCGGGCACAGCGGGCAAGGCAGGCTCCAGCGCTAGGCAACTCCAAGCCTGACTGAGGAAGACGATGTGGTGGTCCACCTGGACACGGATTGGCTGATTAAATAAGGGTTATGAGTTAGACAAATAAAATACCTGATGCTGCTGAATTTCACATCTCTAAGGACATTGCTCTGGCTGTAGACTAACTGGGTGACTGAAACGTGGATCCACATAGTGTCAGTACACAGAAATGACCTGTGTGTGGTTCTCAGCCCTGCTGCTCACTGGAGTCCCTGGGAGTTCTTCAAATTAGAGACACTAAGGATGCTCAGTCCCTGCCCCTCCCCCTGAGTTTTTAAAAATAGCTTTATTGTGATACAATTCAAATAAAATACAATCTACCCATTTAAAGTATACATTTCAGTGGTTTTTAGTATATTCATGGATAAGGACAACCATCAACACAGTCAAATATTTTTTTTTTTTGAGATGGAGTCACCCAGGCTGGTGTGCAATGGCATGATTTTGGTTCACTGTAACCTCTGCCTCCCTGGTTCAAACGATTCTCCTGCCTCAGCCTCTCGAGTAGCTTGGATTACAGGTGTGTGCCATGACGCCCGGCTACTTTTTGTATTTTTGGTAGAGATGGAGTGTCACCATGCTGGCCAGGCTGGTCTCAAACTCCTCAAGTGATCTGCCTGGTTTGGCCTCCCAAAGTGCTGGGATTACAGGCCTGAGCCACCAAGTCCAGCCAACACAGTCAATTTTAAAACATTTTCCTTATCTCAAAAAGAAACCCCATACTCTTTAGCTATTCTTTTTATTTTCTATTAAATTTATTTTTTCTTTCTTTTTTTTTTTTTTTTTTTTGAGATGGAGTCTGGCTCTGTCACCCAGGCTGGAGTTCAGTGGCTCAGTCTTGATTCACTGCAACCTCCGCCTCCTGGGGTTCAAGTGATTCTCCTGCCTCAGCCTCCTGTGTAGCTGGCATTACAGGCATACACCACCACGCCCTGCGAATTTTTGTATTTTCAGTAGAGACAGGGTTTCACCATGTTGGCTAGGCTGATCTGGAACTCCTGACCTCAAGTGATCTGCCCGCCTCGGCCTCCTAAAGTGCTGGGATTATAGGTGTGAGCCACCGCACCTGGCCAACTATTTTAAAAATTTTTAAGAGACTGAGTCTCGCTTTGTCACCCAGTCTGGTGCAGTGGCAGGATCATGGCTTACTTCAGCCTTAAACTCCTGGGATCAAGCAATCCTCCCACCTCAGCCCCCTGAGTAGCTGGGAAAACAAGTGTGCAGAGTCACTAAACTAAAAAAAAAAAAAACTTTTATTATTATTATTATTTGTAGGGGTGGGTTTTCGTTATGTTGCCTAGGCTGGTTTCAAAGTCCTGGCCTCAAGCAATTCTCCTGCTTCATCCTCCAAAAGTGCTGGGATTACAGGCATGAGCCACTGTGCCCAGCCTCTGCCCACTCTTCTAGCCCTAAGCAACAGGAATCTATTTTCTGTCTCTGTAGATTTTCCTGTTATACACATTTCTTATGAATGAAATCATATAATATGTTGTCTTTTGTTTCTGGCTTCTTTCATTTAGCACCATGCTTTCAGGGGGCACCATGCTTTCAGGGTGCACCATGTTGTAGTGGGTATTTTATTCTTTTTTATGGCTGAATAGTATTTCATTTTATGGATATGCCATAATTTGCTTATCTGTTATCAGTTGATGGACATTTGGGTTGTTTCTACCTTTGGGTGTTATGAATAGTGCTGCTATGAACATGTGTGTTCCAGTTTCTGTGTGGACACATGTTTTCCTTTCTCTTGGGTAGCTACCTAGGAATGGAAATGCTGGGTCATACGTTGACTCTGTTGGAAGAACTGCCAGACTGTTTTCCAAAGCAGCTGTACCGTTTCACATTCTCACTAGCAGTGCATGAGGATTCTGATTTCTCCACATCCTTGCCGATACTTGTTATCATCTGACTTTTTGATTCTGGCTACCCTAGTGCCTATGAAGTAGTATCTCAGTGTGGTTTTGATTTGTTGATTTGCTGATGACTAAAGATGCTCAGCATCTTCTTATGTGCTTATTTGTGCTCTTAGAATTTTTAATTCAGTTGATCTGGAGTAGTTTTTTTTTCCTTTTATTTTTTATTTTTTTGAGACAGAGTTTTTCTCGGTCACCAGGCTGGATGGAGTGCAGTGGCGCAATCTCGGCTCACTGCAACCTCTGACTCCCTGGTTCAAGCTATTCTCCTGCCTTAGCCTCCCGAGTAGCTAGGATTACAGGCCTGCACTACCATGCGCAGCTAATTTTTGTATTTTTAGTAGAGCCAGGATTTCACCATGTTAGCCATGATGGTCTCAATCTCCTGAACTCGTGATCCGCCCACCTCGACTTCCCAAAGTGGTGGGATTACAGGCGTGAGCCACGGCGCCTGGCTTATTTTTTTCCTTTAAAAAAGTGTTTGGCTGGGAGTAGTGGTTCACACCTGTAATCCCACACTTTGGGAGGCTGAGGCAGGAGGATCACTTGAGCCCAGGACTTCAAGACCTGCCTGGGCAACATAGCAAGACCCCATCTCTAAAAAAAAAAAAAAAAAAAAAAAAAGGAAATTAGCCAGGTGTGGTGCTGCACACCTGTGGTCCCAGCTCCTTGGAAGGCTGAGGTGGGAGGATCACCTGAGCCCAGGATTATGAGGCTGCAGTGAGCCATGATCATGCTACTGGACTCCATCCAGCCTGGGTGACAAAGTGAGACCCTGTCTCAGAAAAAAAAAAGGTGGGGGGGCCCGGGCGTGGTGTCTTATGCCTGTAACCCTAGCACTTTTGCAGGCAGATTGCTTGAGCTCAGGAGTTCAATACCAGCCTGGTAACATGGCAAAACTGGTCTCTATGAAAAATATAAAAAATAGCTGAGTGTGGTGGTGCACATCTGTAGCTGTAGTCCCAGCTATTTGGGTGGCTGAGGTGGGAGGATCACCTGAGCCTGGGGAGGTTGAGGCCACAGTGAGCTGTGGTCGTACCACTGCACTCCAGCCTGGACAACAGAATGAGACTCCATCTCAAAAAAAAAAAAAAAAAAAGTTTTTTATTTTGAAACAATTTTAGGTTTAGAGAAAAGTTGAAAAACAGTAAAAAAAACAAAAAACAACCCCCCCCAAAAAAACCTCTCATTTACCCTTAACCCAGATTTCCCGAATGCTCACAACCCTTGCTACATCATTCTAGTTCCTGGAAACATTTAAAGCATGTGAAACATTTAAAACATTTAAGTGGCAGGCTTTAAGTTGCACTTCCTTTACTTCTAAATATTTCAGTGTTTTTCTTGAAAAAAAAAATGTTCTCATACCACAGTAACACGATCAAAATTGGAAAATCAACATTGATTCAATACTATGATCTACAATCAAGTTTTTTTTTTCTCCAAATCCCTGGGTCTCAGCATTTTTTTAAAAGCTTCACAGATGATTTCAATGGATACTAGGGACCTCTGCTGCCTCCTCTGGCAGAGCAGGACTGAGGGGTGGACCCTCCCTGAGACCACCCAACAATTTAAGGTGGAGTTATCAGGGCGCCTGACTCCTGGGGGCATTTTTGTGTGACGGGAAAAGACAGTGCTCCTGGCTGAGTGAGATGGCAGCTGGCTTGGCAAGGGGATAGCACCTTTGTCACCACGTCATGTCTCTGTACTCTACGTGCTGCACCTACACCCAGGACCGACGGTAACTGAGGTGGAGGGGAAAGGAGGGCCTGAGATGGCAAGTCTGTCCTCCTCGGTGGTTTCTGTGTCCTTCATTTCCACCCACGAGAGTCTGCTGGACACTGGAGTTGGTGGAGAAGGAGCCAGTGACAGGCAGAGGAGCAAACTGTCTTTATCACACTCCAAGATCCCAGCTGCTAAAATCCACCCTGAGCTCTACTTACCAGCCTTCTTCTCTCTTGCTGGAACCTCCTCTGTACTCAGACCAGCAGCCTTAGCACCACCTCACACTGGTAAGAAATGCAGATGATCAGGCCTTACCCCAGCTCTATTAAATCAGAAATTCTGGAGTGGCGCCCTGCAGCTTGCATTTTAACCAGCCTTCAGGTGCTTCTGATGCTCGCTCAGGTTTGAGCACCACTGGCCACAGGGAGGCCGAGGCAGGGCCCAGGGTCAATTCAACCCTCCTCTGGTTGAATAGCTGGAGAGTTGGGAATATCAGTAAATATTTCCAATGCACCTGCTACAAGCCAGAAAAAGGGAACAAGAAGACACAGTGGGTCTGAGAAAGTGATGGGGTGAGCAGAAACCCAAAGCCCATAGAAGGCCATCCGAGTGGCCCCTCGAGTAGGTGAACTGGCTTTAGGGTTTACTGAAGGAAGTGGAAACCTCAGCCTGCTTCTTGTCTGGGTTGTTATAGGAGTCATTTAGAAAGCTGTACCATTCTTTCAATATTCTCACTACTTTCCAACGCTCATTTTTCCTGCTCATTTCTGGATTAAAAAAATGCCTTGGCTGTATGAGTAAGAAAACCACCATGCAAGTTTGTAGAGAAAGAATCTGGGCCTTCTAGGTCACGTTGGTTTAAAACTTGGACATCAAGCACCTTAGAGACCATGTTGCCAAATAAGCTTAGTAAATGCTTTCTAATGCTTACAGAACTGTGGCGCTTTGTGCTTGCTGTAGTACTATATAATTAGACAAATGAAAGAACTCAAAGGTTGAGCCCCTTCTGTCTCTTAATTTTTTTTTTATAAGCAGATTTAAAATTCTGGCTCATAATGTCCTTGATTCAATGTTAAACCATTTTGCCTAAATGACAGCAAGTTCTAAATGTGAGGGCGCTCAGCTTTTCAAGCTGCTCCTGAATGACAGAAAATTGACAAGCTGTCATTCAAGACCTTTTGGTAGCTGCCTGGGGCTCTGTTTGAATTGTATCTGTCTGATACTTTGCCATGGAGAGTGAAAAATTTGATCACATGCCATGCTTTTAATTTTCTAAAGCAAATATGTTGGAAGGAGCCAATTAATGCAAAGATGGACTGCTGGTCTCATGCAACTGATTTAGGGGAAGGGTTTGCCTAAATTAATAAAAGATCTGAATTATAGATCTTAACAAATATGTAGAATTTAAAGGCTTAAAAGGAAACTGGGCAGCAGCAGGCCTGGGGTTGGCTTTTAAGTATCCTTATTTAACAAATAGACATGAATGTTTTGATTTGATATTAGAAATGCTAGTACTGGAGCCTCTGAGCCTACTCTGGCTCGAGAGGCTGCCCTATCTAAAAAATAAGTAAAAAGAAAAAAAGAAATGCTGGTACTGTAATTCTAAAGTGCTTCAGAAATTCTCAAAAATAGGCCAGGCATGGTGGCTCACGGCTGTATACCAGCACTTTGGGAGGCCAAGGTGGGCAAATCACTTGCGGTTGGGGGTTGGAGACCAGCCTGGCCAATGTGGTGAAACCCCATCTCTACTAAAAATACAGAAATTAGCCAGGCATGGTAGCAGGTGCCTGTAATTCCAGCTACTTGGGAGGCTGAGGCAGGAGAATCGCTAGAACCTTGGAGATGGAGGTTGCAGTAAGCCGAGATCGCACCACTGCACTCCAGCCTGGGCAACAGAGTGAGACTCTGTCTCAAAAAAAAAAAAAAAAAAAGTTCTCAAAAATATTTTGAACTTCCTCACCTTTGTCCTATTTTTGAAGGAGGGGTCTACATTAAAGAGATCATACAGAAATAATTTAATTGTTACAAAACGAATGGAATGTCTTTACTTTTTACCCGATTGAGTTACATTAACTGCATCTTCAATTTAATTTAAAGTGCTCCTCAACCTAAAATATAGTCATGTGTCCATATTTAAAAATGCATATTATTAAATCTATTTTTTTTTCAATCTATCATCCACACTGCAGCAAGGCGATTCTGCCAAAACATATGTCCTTAAAAGCCAACTGGAGTGTCTCATCAGCATCAATGTGAAGCCAAAAATCCTTAGGAGGACAGAGGGAGTCCCTCACAACATAGACCGGTCCCCTTCCCTCCAGCTGCCTGGACTGTCCAAAGGACTCTCTTCCCGCCTGCGGCCACACTGCACAACTTGGAATTTCCCCACCTGGGCGGACTCATCGCGTCATCACCAACTGGATGCATCTTCTGCTCTGTGCAGCTGGTAAAATCTTTCTCAACCCTTGAGATGCAGCCCAATCTCCTCCTAACATCTGGATTCCTCTCTGTCACTGCATTCCCTCCTGTCATCCTGCCTTTGTTTTCTTACCCTCCTCTCTCTCCTGTGATAGGCATTAATTAAAATTAAATAAAAATTCAGATCATCCTTGTACTTGGTGCATTTCAAATGCTCGGCAGTCACATGTAGTTAGTGGCTACCCTCTTGGACAGCACAGATAGAGATTATTTCCATCATTGCAGAAAATTCTAGACTTTAAACTTCTTGAGGACAGGGGCTTGATCGTTTGACACTGCTTTACAGTGTCTAGCAGTGTCTGCCCTGTAGCAGGGGCTCAGGAAATTTTTCCTGAACCGAACCTAACTGAACTGATGTGGGTTTGTCATCAGGGTGTACCTTCTGTTAAAGGAGGTTATGATTTCTGATGCTGGGGTGACCAGAGGGGATGGGAGTGGGCCTGGCACTCGGAGGAAAGGGGGCAACACCAGCTGAGAAGTCATCCTTTACTTGCTGGCATGGCCCCAGCCAGGGTTCTGTTGCTACGGGAGAATGGATGAGTAGGAATGGATTGTATCACCCTGGATCTAGAGGACAACCTGGCGTGAGGGGCATGGGGGACATTGGAAGTCAGGGTAAGAAACTTGGACTTCATTCTACTGGCATGGAGAGCTCCTGGAAATTAATGAGCAGTAGAGTGATAGGATAAGCTTATAGGAGGAGCCAAAATTTTTAATACAGCTCCTTAGATCTTAGATCTTGTGACTTAGGAAAGGCAATATGAGCCCCTGAGCATTCTGTGTCCTTTGTACATTTGGGAGAACAGAGGCCCAAAGTGGGAAATCATCCTCCTCCGGGGCAGCACAGACATGGCTGCTCCATTCCTATTCAGAAGCCTCGTTTCCTGATTAAGGCTCTGGCAGCTGTGGTGTTTCATTGTTCATTATTCATGAATAGACTTGGCCCTGTTCAAAACTGAAGCTTCAATGCTGCAAATGAGGGCTGCAGAGAGGATGTTGGGGAACTCGCCTGTTTGGCTTCAAAACTGCCCCCTTTTCTCTGGAAAAATCCTCTCTAGAATACTGTGCCAAGGCTTGGTGAGTGAGAAATGAGTTTTCATGATGTATCAAAAGAAAAATGCTTCTTTTAAGAAAATGTCTTTATAAATGGCAGCAGGCGGGGAAGAATCTAAAAGACAGAAAGAGCAATGCTTGCAGGTTGAAAGCATTACCTCCAGATATGGGGACGTTAGGACTAAGGGAAGGTCAGTGATGGGTCCACGAGGCCGGGTTTCAATGGGTTTACCATTTCCTTCTTTGTGTGCCCACCGATGGACACACGTAGGCACACACACCAACAGCCTCCCATGTGGACGGTCCAGGGTGCCCACAACCCTTCCAGCAAGACTTTGATTTCTCTGTTTCAAAGGATTTCTTGAGGCCCCTCTGTAGAGCTGCTTGTCTTCTTCACGACCCGTGCTTGGGTCAGGGCAGGTGGAGTGAGCTGCATGAACAGCTGGGAGATGATCCTGTGATCTCATTGTGCAGTGGTCCTGCCAGGTTGCTCTTTCTAAAACCTTGGGTATTGCAAATTCTGCTTCTTAGGGACCGCTTGGTCCCCCAGTCCTCCCCCTGCTGACTCCCTTCCTGGTGAAGCCACCAGCATGGCTCTCAGGGTGGTGCTGTCTTCCTTTTCTAGAACAGCCACGTGGCCCCATGGCTTGCACTTACTGGTTACTGAGGTTACAAATGCCTCTTCTAGGCTGTGAACCATCAAGGAGTGGGTCCAGTTCAGCCAACACTTCCTCAGGGATTTTAAGTAGCTGGGGGTCCCCCCGAATCTCCATCACCCTCTTGCCCATTCTGCATCCCCTCCCCCACCACACATACACTCTACTCCCCCAGTGCTGAATAACTTGCCAAAGCACGGTGCTGGCACTGGGGCGTTCAGGGGTGAAGAAGATGGGGCCTCTGCCCTGGGGAGGAGGTGATGAGGGGAGGAACAGCAGCACAGAGGGTGGGAGGCAGAGGAAATGGCACTGAGTGGGGGCATGAGGATGGAAGAGGAGCATGCTAGATGGGACGACGGGACCCAGCACTGACCAAATAGAAGCTTGTGGGTGGCACATCAGTCACTCCAGGGAGAGATGCAGTCACTGCCATTTTCCTAATGAAACTCCTCCAGTTATTAAAGGCCCAGAGTCACAGACTTAAGGACCAGAAGTGGGATTTGAACCCAAGTCCCCCAGATGACAGGGTTCCTACGTGCTTCTCTAGGTCACATTAGTTCATGCTGGAGGGGAGGAGGGGTGTTTCAGGAAGAGAGGAGATGTGGGCAAAGGCACAGAGACCGTAAGCGGAAAGGTATGTTCCAGAAAATGCAAGTTATTGAGCACTGGGGGAGCAGAGTGTATGTGTGGTGGGGAAGGGGTGGAGAATGGGTGAGAGGGTTGTGGAGACTCAGTGGGACCCCCAGCTACTTAATTCCCCGACAGGGAAAGAGCTTAGAAACTCCCTCCACCTCCCGCAAAGCAGTGGGGAAGCTGCAGCCACACTGTGTGCGGTGGGCTCATTCTGTCTGCAGTCTGGCTGCTCTGAGGGATGGTGGAGGATGGGGCTTGCAGGCAGGCACGGCCAGTTTGGAAGGTGTACTGGCTCCAGCACTCAACTTGTGGCTGACACTCAGGGAAGTCACCCTCTCCGGCCCTCAGTTTCCTCCTCTGTAAAATAAGGGAATTCGACAAAAATAAGTTGTCACGAATTTATTCACCACCACGTGTCCTTTTAATTCCGTCTGCCCCAGGACTGCAGTGGG